AGAAAAATAACGTGATAGACATTGAAAACATATTTGCAGGTTTATATTTTTTTATTAATTTATTTAATTGAGAGTGAGATTTATTTTAATTTATTTAAGTTATGTGATAGACATCTAATTTTCTTGAATTTAGGTGAACTATTTTTGATATGTAAAAAAAAGGATTTATAAAAGTCGAAGAAGATATCAACACTATTATATGAGAAGAAATAAATCAAATTTGATTAAATTGAAGAACAAATGCAAACCACAAATTAAAAAGCAAGTAAGTCCAAACTATGCAAAATGTAATAACGGAAAAGATGAAAAGATGTGTAGATGAACTAAAAAATATTGAGAAAAAAATATATACACACAAAAGTAATAAACACTGAAAAAATGTATATAAAGTAAGAAATAATATTAGGAGTATAAAAATGGAGAAGATGAAAAGATGTGTATATGAACTAAAAAATATTGAAAAAAATATATATACTCACAAAAGTAATAAACACTGAAAAAATGTATATAAAGTAAGAAATAATATTAGGAGTATAAAAATGGAGAAGATGAAAAGATGTGTATATGAACTAAAAAATATTGAAAAAAATATATATACTCACAAAAGTAATAAACACTGAAAAAATGTATATAAAGTAAGAAATAATATTAGGAGTATAAAAATGGAGAAGATGAAAAGATGTGTATATGAACTAAAAAATATTGAAAAAAATATATATACTCACAAAAGTAATAAACACTGAAAAAATGTATATAAAGTAAGAAATAATATTAGGAGTATAAAAATGGAGAAGATGAAAAGATGTGTATATGAACTAAAAAATATTGAAAAAAATATATATACTCACAAAAGTAATAAACACTGAAAAAATGTATATAAAGTAAGAAATAATATTAGGAGTATAAAAATGGAGAAGATGAAAAGATGTGTAGATGAATTGAAAAATATTAGGAAAAAGAATATATTTACACAAAGATATAAAGTACGAAATCATATTACACCGACCTTGTAATAATTTTTTACAGATCATCAAACTTAGAAAATGTAATAATGGAGAAGATAATATGATTTTCACAGATCATCAAACTTGAAAAATATAATAATGAAGAGGATGAGTTAGTCTGAGAAAAGATAGGTAGAAAAAAGAAAATAAAAATGGATAGATGAAAGAGAATGATTGAATTTGACTAAAATATAAAATAAACTGAATACAGA